CATCCATCCATCCATTCATACATACATACATACATACATGCATACATACATACATACATACGTACATACATACATACATATAAACACACACACACATACATACATACATACATACATACATGCATACATACATACATACATACATACATACACGCACACACACACACTCTAGGGCAAAATCTAGTATTCACATATTCAGCCTTGGCGGATCGCTTGATGCCAACCAGCCGTGGCTGTCGTCCAAACCTACCTGCAGGGACAGCAGCGGAGCTTGTGGCGGAGTTTGCAGCGGAGCGTGGCTGTCTGCTCAGGTGTCCGGTCATAGCCGAGCCTGGCTGCTTCGACCAGGAGATGACCGAGGGACGTTCCTCTTTTCTTGTTCTTCAGTGAGCACAGGAATTCACGTGCGAACGATGCTGTGACACAAGGCAACCGTTCTTGCCTCTTGTATAATTTGCATTTGCAGTGGCAGTGGCAGGGCCATTCCCATCGGGGAGCTGAGCTGTTGGATGGGTGACATCCGCTTTGCGACCTGCTGTGGCCTCACCAAGCCGCTCGGCGATGCGACCGCTCTCTTCCTTTCCATGCTCTGCAAAGTCTGCTCGGCTCGAGGCTTCGCTTCCAGGCCGGAGCGGGGCGGAGCGGGGCGGACCTCCACACTCTGCGGGGCCGCTTTCACACACCCAAAGGATGGAAACGCTCTAGGCACGTCGGGCGTGGCGCGGTGGAGCCGAGCTGCGTGCAGGCTGCCGCAATGCTTCCTGCAATGGATCACCTTTCTGGACCTCCAGCCACTTGTCCTCCAAATGCACAGGTCCGGGCAGCTGGTGAGTGCATGCAGAACAGCTCTTGGCACATCTTGGCGTAAGCCTGGCAGGCTCATTGCTTTGATCCCTACTTCCCTTGCGAGAGGTGTCGATGTCTCAGTGGTCTCAGTTCGAGTCTCCGAGAATCCTTTAAAGCCCTTCAGCCTGCCGACCCTCCCTACCTCGGAGGTTGCGACACTCGCAGAGGCGCTCAGGGCGACCTTGCATGCTGGGTGCGCTGGGCCCAAGTCTCGCACACGAAATGCGCTGAATTTGCGCTTCGCATGTCTTTCCCCTTGCCAGCCGGACACGGCGTCGATGGGCCTGCGGACACTCAGTCTGGAGCCGAAGAATTTCTGCCGCTTGAGCGTTAGCACGACCAAGTGATGGACGTCCAGGTTACAACTTCTGCTGCGGGTTGATGCCGTTTGCCAGCAATGAGCGTGTCGCTTGGTAGCGGATGAACTACTGAAATCCAAGAGAGATGTGCATAGACCGACTGCATCCGCGTTGCACCACCCGGTTTCGTCATGCTCTTTTGGGCTGAAGCTACCGCCATCATCGGCCAAAGCGGGTGGGCCAGCGTGGACAAAGAATCGACTCAAGCTGCCATGCTCCCTGCTGTGGATTTCGACAAAGATGGGTGTCCTGCACACCGTTGGTAGCAAAGCCGATGGCACGGTGCGGGAGTCGGATACTGCTTGTGCAATGTTTGCTGCTTGCACTCGATGTGACTTCGGAATTCTGCTCGGACCTGCAAGTGCACCAAACCCGACTGATTTTTGACAGAAGCGTCCAAGCGGTTCGGGGAGGCGGCGAAACGAGGGCCTGGCAGACCCCTGCACGAAGGTTCGGACAAAAGCATGACCATTAGCGGAAGCTTTTGGCTCACAGGCGTTGATGCATGCATGCTTCTACGAAGCAGCCCAGTATTCCCGAGATGTAGCCCACCAACTACTCGAGTAGAGCAATGGATGCCGCCAAGACCTTCTTGGATGGCACCGTCGAGCGTGCAGATTTGAACCAGCAACTTGGGCGGCATTGAGACATGATGTGCCTAACGCTGCAGAGTCGCTGTGCGAAGCCTGGCAGCATTTGAGGTACTGGTTCTCTCAGCCCACCTTGTCCACGTTCGTGGAGGAATGCGATGTCACCGGGCGTTCCGCCTTGGTCTCGTCGCCCAGCGTCTACTTCAGCCTACCCGAGGAGCGGCCGGCTGCACGCTTCGCTTCGGCGTTGCAGAGTCCTAAGTCCTCGCGTCGTCGCGTGCTCTGCCTCTGCCTTGCTTGAGAGGAGCGCCGCCGGAACTGCAAAGTCTTGGACTTCGACCGGCAGTGGGATTCAGATCCAGGCGCCACACGCACACGCTGCACATGCAAACAGAGGAGTCTGCATATGATGGAGCTTCGATGTTTTTTTTCACCAGGCTTTGTTTTCTATGATTTCCACCAGCCAGAGGATCTGCCGGAGGCAGTGGCATCTTTCTTGCTCTTCTGGTCTCGTGCTTCTCCGTCGACGACAGGCGCTGCGAGGTGCCTTCAGCTTTGTCCTAATCGATCCACCGTTCATCACGCGTGAGGCGCTGCCTGTCAGTAAGCTTGGCTCGCTTATGCGCATGTAGCAGAATCCCTTCAAACTCGAGACGAAGATGTCCCTCAAGATCGTAGCCGTGTCGGATCCCATTCTGCTGGGCAGGTCTGGGAGAAATATGCCATCACAGCGCGCCCTTTGGCTTGATGCTTGTCTTTGTTGCATTAAGCTCCCTTGGCATGTTTTGCTGCAGGTTTCTTGGCTTGCGAGGGTGCTCGAATTCTTTGCACCACCATAGCTGAAAATGCACAGCTGATGGCAGAGCTGCTGGACCTACATCCGGCTGCCCGGCTCGATCAGCCGCTTGTTGTTCCGCGGTTTGGTTTGTTAATGTTTGTTAGGCTAGTGCTGATTTGGTAATGATTCTAGTAATGATCCTCTTTGCGGAGCGGCAAATCGACATCTGGATCACTTACTGCTCGCAGGTGCTGTATCGCCCAGGGATACCGAACTTGGTGTACCAGTGCTCGGCGAGAGTCAGCAGTGTGAGCCTTCACATCACAGCCTTCTGTGCCGGCAGGTACAGCATCTATGTGAATTACGAGTCTGACAGGCTGAATGAGTTGAATCCTGAGATCGACCAGGAAAACTGGCAGGCTGGTGGCCTTTGAGATGTTGGGTGCAAACTGTAACTTCGCCACTCTTCCTTTTCTCTCTCTCTCTCTCTCTCTCTCTCTCTTCTCTCTTTTCTCTCTTCACACGTGGGCGAGGCGACTGCTGAGAGCGTGCTTTGTGGGCATCAGCTCGATGAGAAGCTCGAGGCCCCACTCCTGCCCCGAGCGGGGCCCGAAGCCGGGGAGGGGGCCGGTGCTACCCCGGCTGGATACCTGGCGACCGAAAGCTTCGCCCCGGAGGCACCCAGCGTAGCGCTGCTTTGGCCGGCTTTTGTTGTAGCGCCCTGGGGAGGTGGATGTGGCAGAGGTTCTGCTGCTGCTTCAGTTGCGGAAGCACCTCATGGGAGTCAAGCGGGCCATCGAGGTGAGGATGCAAATGAGCTGTGTGCATTTTTTTTGTGCTATGTGTGTGTTCGGCGCAGGGCCTACAGGCACCTCTCCTGATGGCTCAACGCAGAACTGCAATGGGAGGATTGGCTGCGAGCGCCGCAGCCGACAAGGCTTGAGCTTCGGAACTTGGCAGGAGCGAGTGTAAACGTGCGCGAAAGGCGGATGCTGCCAAAGATGCAGCAAGAGCCGCCTTGGACCAAATGGAAGCCTTCTTGCGTGAACACATCTCGGAGGCCTCGGATCGAGCCCTCACTCAGCGTCCTCTGCGCTCTTCGCGCAAGCCCGAGAGGTTCTCTTCGCCTTGGGCGAGGGCTCGGAGGGCTCGGAGGGCTCGGCCGCAGGGGATCGTTGGCACCTGCCACTGGGCGTTGAGGGCCTCCATGTAGCTCTGGTGGCTTTTGGTGGCTTTTGGGCCAAGGCGCTCCGCCCGGGCCCTTCTGGAGGGCACGCAAGGCGGCGTGGTCCTGGATGAGATGCGCCGACTGTCGGTGGCCTTCTTCGGCCAGAGCCGCCAGGCACGCTTGTTGCACATCTGCGATGGCCAAAGCAGCTATGGCGCGCTTTCCTGCAATTCTATCAGCATTCTGTGTGGTCTTGCTCCGGGTGCAGGTGTTGGATCGGATCAAAATGCTGAGAGCGCAAGCAAGGGGTGAACCAACCCAACCGCTGCTTGTGGCAAAAGGGCGCCGTCTTTGCCCTGTCTTGCGGCGTATTTCCGTGGAGGACACATTCTGACAAGGATTTTAGCTGGCATGGAACAGGAGTAAGTAGGCTTGTGCATGCCGTGATGTGACTTCCAGCGATTCTAGCGACGTTGTACACAGACATCTGATAGGGATGAGCAAGGAAACAGCAAAGGACGGTATTTAAGGCTCACTTGAACGACATGATACTTTTTAAAAGCTGAGTGGCTCTTGCAGACATGCTGCAGCTGTGCAAACGAATGATCGACGGCCACGGAGAAATTCCAGGCCTTCGACAAAGACAAGCGAACCTATCTGCACGCACGGTGCAGAGACTTTGTTGCCTTTGTGGGCCTGTCCTAAACAAATTAATATCTAAGGTGTCTGGGACTCCACACCCTCCTCTCGAATCATAGAAAGGCTCGGAGAATTCTTATGATGTCCAGACCTGTGCGTGCTGATCGCCCTTTACAACCAGTCACTAGTACCAGCCTCTTGGGTGGCTTGTGGGTTCTTCATCTCTTTAATTGCATGCGAAACCAATGAAACTCCTGAAAACAAAAACCCGACCCAACACTGAAGCCTGGTTTTGATTAAGCATTTCAATCAAGCACACAATCTGCGACACATACAGAAGTTTGCGAGCGTAAATTCACCGAAACTCATGAACAGCACAGAAAGACACACAACAACCAACTTGACAACTCATAAGTAGGGGTTTCTTGCATCAAAATTTTCATACTGGAAAAGGCAACATCATTTTAACAGTGTTGTTTTTTGAAATATTGCCATCGTTGAGTATCCATTATTGCTTCTGATGCTGATTTATGCTGTTTATTGCTCTTCCTGGTCAATACTGTTCTGTTCTGGCCTTTTTCACTGTAGACACAGGTACGCTTTAAGATATTTTATTGTTTCTGTTTCCACACATATTGTGTCTTACCTTTCTGTGTTTTCTGCGATTTGTTGTACAAGTTTTCTACAGGATCGCGACCATCCCATCAATTACTATAGCAACAGTTTAGCGGGTACCTCCATGCTGTAAGGGGTTTGCAACTTTACTGGGTTGGAACTCGCATTATGCAAATTCGTGTTTGTCTTCCGTTGCGTCAACCGTATGTTCATGTTTGTTCATGCCGGAACCGTAAACATGACTTCGTAGTTCTTCGGACACGCATTTTCGCATGCTTTACACATGTTGAACTTACAGATGGTCTTATGGCACTTTGGGTATAAGCAACCTGCACGAAGTCACATTTCGTGAACTTAGCCTTGCTTCCCAGTGTTTTCCCAACTCAACCCCTCCCGAGAGGCACATCGCCGTCGACAGTCCCTGTGCTCAAGCCGGGACTTCACAGGTGAAACGTGGAAACATATTGCCACGGATTTTGCCTACATTGCCAGCAAACAATTTTGGATCTTGGCAAGCTTCAACCAGTCTAGGCCCAGGTCTTAACACACAGCAGGCTGCTGCGATGCCGAAGGCTGCAGTACACCCCACCAGTCCCGCAGCCCAGTCGTGGCAATGCAGGCTTTTCTCACTATGCGAAGTCCCACCATGATGCCAAGGCTCAAACTTCCGGCGGGTTGCGAAGCTTGATGCCTGCACCCCGAAGTGCACGATACATCTAGTGATGCATCTCGGTTTCGCAATGCCGTGCTTGTTGGCAGACTACTCCAGAAGGCAGCTGCTGGTAGGACAACTCCGAAGCCTTCGGTTCAGGTCGTATCGCGGGTGCGAATGCTCAACCAGATGGGGCTTCTCAAGGACTTTCGGTGCTTTTGGGGACCGACGGCTGCACTTCGTGGCTCCTCTGAGCGCCAGGAGCGACCCAGGTGGTTGGAGTGGTCCGCATCTTCAGAGACTCTGCTCGAGCCATGCTTGTTGGACTTGTTTGGTTTTTTCCTTCGAGGTGCCAGCGTGTTCCTCCGATGGAGAACCACAACTTGCACCTGCAAGCCTCGCGCCTATGCGATTCCCACTTCCAAGCGTACTTATTGACCGAACCTCATCTGCGATTTGCTGCGGTACTCTGCCAGGCGCGAACGATCCGCAATCCGTACCCACAGATGGCGTCTCGATCGGTTGTCTTTCATTTTTTGTAGTAGCGTCTTGTTGGCAAGCTTAGCTTGGACTCATGGAGGCAGTAGAAGCCAAGGTTGATTTTCTCCTGAAGAAGTATCCGGACCTCCGATTCCAGGAACTCCAAATTGAAACTCATGAAATCAACGCAAACTCTGAGTCGAATAATCCGTTCCGGCACAGGATTGCTACGTTGATGGGAACGATTGGTCGGCCGGGAACGATGCATACAGAGACGATCATCCGGTGATGCAGGCGCATAGCTCGGGCGCTTTAAGGAAAGAGGCGCTGAGTGTTTTCGCGAATCGGCCACCTTCAGTTCGTGGCCCAGCAGCTGAAGCTCATGCGGGAAGAAGGCTTGACAAAGCGCGAGGCCTGCTTCTGCATGTTCAGCTACTCGCGACGTCGTAGCGTCAATTTTCCTTGCCAGGCCTTCAAGCGAACGGAAGACATTTTTCGAGAGAGGCCGCCAACTTCTACAGTAGGATTGCCCAAAGACCTGGAATTAGCAACGTGATTGCTTCCAGGCGAGAGTCTCTTGAACGAGAGCAGAAAGTAATGATGGCAATGGCCATAAAAGAAGTCGTGGCCTTGTGAATCGGAATGACGGCAAGACTGAGTCTGTGCGATGTGGTTGGAACGCCCCATGTCTGAGGGCTTCAAGCCCATGTTCAGCACAGGGCGCGCTTACCTGGAGGTGCGCAGTGCAAATGCAAGGCTTACAGTCCTAACGCGCTCCTCGGGGAAGTAGGAGCCTCGCTGCTAGGTGGAGAAGGCGCGAATCGAAAGTGGGCACATGACCAGAATCATAAGCCCCTCGTCTGCATCTCGCATCCGAATCGAATTGAGCCGTGATCCTGTGAAGCAGGTGCACTTCGCAAGCAGAGAGCGTCGGCAGAGGAAACACGAGACTCCGAGGAGTCTGCAGCTTCTTCAGTTTGGCCTGTACGGATTTTCGTGGAACGAATTCCAAGTGCCTGAATTTCCACCGTCATCCGCTCTTCGCGTTAATCTGCCTGTAATGATTCTGCCTTTTGAGGCAGCTTTCAGTCCAGTCTCGCTGGACTCGGCGGTTCGGAGTTTGGGACCTGCCAGTGTCGACTCCGTGCCTCTCTCGAGGCCGCGCAGGATCCAATGACAAGGAAGGCCTTGAAGCAAGCAGTGGAAGAGGTCCTCGGATGCGCAGAGTCTCAGAGGCTCCTCAGATCAGGGCAGAGTGGAGCCTGGCAGGCTGCGCGGATGGCCAGGCAAGATGCCGCAAGAGAAGAGGAGCGGGAGGCGCCCACAGGGGAGCGTGCAGTTCCCGTTGCGGTTGACTGAAGCTGGCAGGAACAAATCAGGCAAGACGAGGCGCAGGTTCAGGAGCCCGGACATTTTTACCCGCAGTCAAGACTAGAACCTAGATGGATTAAGAGATTCTTTTCATGTCTCCAGGAAACGCTGCTGCAACAGCTGCAAGCGGGCGAGGAATCCCAGGACTCCCAGGCGTTCGTCGTCCGATGTCGTGGGGCGTCGCTTTTGCGCTGGGCGGAGCCGCAGGCGGAGCCGCAGGCTCCCTTCCCGATCCCGAGCGAGGACCAGGCCAGGCCCCAGGCGCCTGCTCTCCCGGCATCTCGTGGCCCTGGCCGCAGGCTCCGGCAGAGGCAGGGCCACATCCCTCAGAGGAGTTTGACAAAGAGCAGGAGGTGGGGACGAACACTGGCCAAAGTGGCTACGAACACTGGCCAAAGTGGCTGGCACATGACGGCATGTGTGTGCCTTGGAGGACCAGAGCAAGAGGCTGGATTCCAGAACAGCCTCTTGGCTGCACCACCGTGCACTCCAAGTTTTCTGATATTCCCATGCTGGCCCTGGTCTGCTCATTCCTCGAGCCCGAACACCCGAACTGGTACCATTCCTGGCCCCATTAAGAGCCCCCACCAATCAGGACAATAAGGTGTAGATGGATTTGGCCGCATAGCGTCAGCGACAGGCAACCGAGACGGACTTGCTCAGACCCAGACCCGGAGCGGATCTCAGTGATAGCCTCGTGGTCTCGTGAGCGTTCTTTAATTCTAGGAGACTGCAAGCGTCTGGGCCGCAGTGTACTGTGCCACGCACTGGTCAACTGCGCAGCCAGGACTACGAACGGACCAGGGTGTGAGGGAGATGCTCGGCAAGTCAAAGTCGAAGTTGGGACGCGGGCGTATGGACGAGAGCAAGGAAGAAGAGGGCTCATCATCTGACAGCGACGACGAAAACAACGAGAGGTGACACGACCGCTTCGTGCAAGTGGCCGAGCTGAGATCACTTTGGTGCGTCCTGACGGTGATCTCATGTGGAAAATGCCAGTCTGCAGTTGTGTTGATCAGCTCTGTGATGACCATCCGAGCTTCTTCACGGTTTGCTTCCAGTGGCCATGTCAGACACAGGATCGTGCCCCAGTGTTACTGCATGTGCCTCGCCACTTCGCCCATTGACACTTGAAGCATCCGAGTTCAGATGAGACTCAGTGTTCCGTCCTCGGTCAAGCTCCCACCATCTCAACATGAAGCCTCGCAATTCGATGCCATCGTCCCATAGTGAAACCCTCAAAGTGCGCATGCCAAAGGGGCTGTCGCCAAGCAGCGTCATCTAGGGCATTTTTGCACTGCCGCTGAATGTTTGACTTCGATGCCCTCGACGAAGCTGATGCAAAGCTCCCTGGCTGCTGCCGGCACTGCCCATGCATGAATCAGCATGCACTTGAGTCAGGTTGCAGGAGAACGTCCCAGGCTTCAACATTCAGGAATTCGATGGCACAGACACCAAGCTTGCAGGCCGTGTTGAACCTCGGCTTGCTAAGTTGAGACAGGCAAAACGTTGCATACTGTTTCCTGTGACGCCTTTATTTGATGTTGGCGCAGTATGCATTCCTTTGTAGCATATCGTGCAACACCAAGCAATATAGCATAACTAAAACAGACAGCACAAAGCGAAGTGAAGAAATGCAGCAGAGAAGTGTAGCACATGGCACGAAGAGGTTGAATGTCAAAACACGTAAACGCACCGGGATGTGACCAATGAATACATGCAGTGCAGCGTAGCATAGTGCAGCATGTAGTACATGTTATAAAGATTTCTTCCTCCCCAATATTGATGTTGTGTTTATACATTATTAATACCGTAGCTTGCCGTACCTTACCGGACCTTACCACATCTTACCTTTGCTCTATCTTACCTCATCTGACCTTACCTGGTTGTTGCATTGCCCCGCCTTGGTGCACCTTGCCTTGCGTTGCCTTACTCTGCCTTCTCTGTCAGTACATGCCAATACATGACATTCCGTGACATTCGATGACACTAAAAGTGACATGACATGACATCACAAGAGTTAGGGATATTCAGCTATGTTTTAATATAAGAGCTCATTGAATCCTATGTTACACCATCGCATGTTGCAGTGCCAGTTTTGGATATGCTGTATGTCATGTATGTTGATGCAAGAGACTATTCTGGGCTGACATACGATGATTTAAGCTTTTGTTGCTGAGCCTTTGTATCATTGTTCTCTATGCAGATTGAAGTTCAACGCGATATGAGTCGAACATCAGATCATGTGCTAGACGAGAATGGGCTGGGCGGTGTAGGTGGGGGGGACAAAGACAAGTACAATGGCCACATACAGCTGCGCTGGCACGGATGAACAGAGATATTGTTGCAGAAGTCTGCATCACACGCAAGTAAACAATGTAGCATAGGATTTAATTCTTTGTTGTCAGGATACCTTACGTAGTGATTTTGTGGCTCCGGTTAATGATCTTTTCTTTCAAGGCTTGCAGCCTTGTCAGATTTTTTTGGAACATCCGCAGATCTTTCTATGCGCTCTACGGGGAGTCCGTAGAACCATGATTATAGCACAACTAGTTTGACATATATCTATCCATCTATCCATCCATCCATCCATCCATCCATCCATCCATCCATCCATCCATCCATCCATCGATCTATCTGTCTATCTATCTATCTATCTATCTATCTATCTATCTATCTGTATATACATACATGCATACGGCGCAACGGGCACACGCCCACCCTCCCACCCCCCCTCACGTGGCTTGGACTCTTCTGGCCTATG